CCCTGGGGGAGGTGGGAGGAAAGATGTGAGAGGCAGCCAGTTTGGGATCACTCCCCACGCTGGGAGCTGAGGCTCAGTGCCACCAGCCAGCTATGCTGTCTTTGTTTTTTCCTTTCCCAAACAAAGGTGAGGAATACCTCCTGAAAGCAATGCCCCGCCTGCCAGGGCAAGGGCGGGGGTCAGACAGCGCAGGCCTCCTGGACACGCAGGGAATGGGATGCAGGGCCCAATCTGGAGTAACTGGGAAGCACCACCCCACAAACACACATCCTAGCTCCAGTCGGCACCCCCCAGACATAGGGGGATGCTCTCCCTGCACTTGGTTTACCCCCATTCCACCCTCACAGGCTTACGCCACCAACGCCACCCAACCCCAGAAGAGGCCGTGAGCAGAGGCACACCCTCCTTCTACTAGACTCAGGAAAACACTGCCCGCGGACCACAGACCGCACCCAGGCACAGACGGAAGGCGGTGAAGTCCTGCGCGTTTCTGTTGCCTCGGCATCCACGCCGAAGAGCAGCGGACTCTGGCACCAGCAGCGGGGCGCAGCCCCCCACAGTTCCCCGCTCTCCCTCCTCCCAGCTCCTCACGTGGCATCCATGTCCCTGCCTTATACACCCGCCTCCTGGTGACCACCCGCCACGGGACAGCTAGACACAGCAAGCCGGGCTGATGCCTCTGACTCCACCCCCGCAGGGACTGTGCGGACATGGACGGTGACCCCTCTCAGTCACTGCGTGACCCCGCTTGCTCCAAACCCACCAATTAGAACTCCCCGTGGGAGACCTGCTTGGGTAACTGCCTAGATCCCATAAAGGTCCACTCTCTCATTCTCCACCTGCTGCTTGTGCACTCTGCTGTCTCTGGATGCCCCCTGGCCCTGCACGCACCCCTCTTCTCTCGTGGATCTGCAAGGAACAAACTGCTTCTTTGTTCCATGTGTTTGGCTGTGCTGCCTCCCACGTCCCACCTGACACTCACACCCAAACCTAACTCCCCCCACCAGGGATCTCTTAGACAGTGGCCATCTCGGTTTATGGCAACTCACCAGAGTTGGGTATCCCCACTTGGGTCTCCCCAAGACCAAATTAGAAAAATATCACAATAGGAGGCTCCAGGCTCAGGAAGAGTTCTGAAAGCAGGAGGGATGCCTGAGTGTTGGAGACTAAGACCCTCCACATCCCAACGACTTGTTCTACGCACGGGCCTCGGGCCTCGCCTGGTAAAATAGCCTAAGACGAAAATAGCACCCAGCCCTCCAGCTCTGAGAAGTTCCGAGAAGAATGCATTCCATGACGTGCTTGCTCCAGGGCATGCTACCTGCAATTGTTCCCCACCCCCTGCCAGGTTGGGGTTGAGTGATCAATCACAAACAGCTTCCGATGCCAATAAGATGCTGATTGGGGCTGACTGGCCCACACCCAAGCCTCATCATCCCCCCACTCGATTTTTCTGTTTCTACTTCCTTGTTTCTGTATATAAAACCTACTAAAAATCCTAGTAAAGTAGACCTTGACAACCATTTGCTTGGTCTCGTTCCTTTCTCTCGCCCATCTCTTTCAGGCACGGTCCCCCCGCCCCCCCTCCTCGAGTAACAAAAGGTCCCGCTGGCCGGGACACCTGAGGGCTCAGGCAAGACAAAGCTGTCTGCAGAGTGCAAAGGGGTGTGAAGAGAAGACCCAGGGCACGCTGGGATGGCCGAGACAAGGGAGCTCGCCCCAGTGCCCCATCAGGTTCTGACACTTGGGTATGGAGATGAGAGAGACACCCTTACTGCCCTGTCAATAGAAAAGAACCCAAACTCTGTAAAATAATTTAAAGAGGTTTATTCTAAGCTGAATATGTGCAACCATGGCCCGGAGAGCCATGCCCAAGAAGCCTTGAGCAAGTGGTGTTGCCGTGTTTGGGTTACATACATTTGGTTTGGTTTTATACATTTCAGAGAGACAGGAATTACACATAAAGTCATAAATCAACACATGGAAGATGTACATTGAGGACATGTCTAAGAGGGGCATTACAGGTTAAAGGTGGGTTTAAAGATTCTTTCATTTGTAATTGGTTAAAGAAATGAACCTTTGTCTAAAAGCTTGGAATGTTTAAGTTAAGATAAGGAAGTCTATTAATCAGAGACAAGTCATCTGACATATACAGGACATACACTCAGACTCAAGTGATCTGTTAAGTAAATTGATTACCTGCAGGTGTGCTTTAAGCTTTTTCTTGCATAGCCTTAGGCCTTTTAGTAAATTACAAAGGATATCTCCAAGAAGGGAGGGGGCATGACTTGGCATGTCTGACCTCCCTTCTCACAGCCAGTAACTCAGCTTTAGGATATTTCTGGGGTCCGCTTGGCAAGAGGGGGTCCATTCAGTCAGCTGGAGGGGGACTTAGATTTTATTCTAGTTCACAACCCCCACCCCCAACAAACACAGATGGGGTCCATTCCTGCCCTGTCTCTCTTGGTGTGCACAATAGCCCATAAAGCAGGAACAACTCCCCTTTCACAGCTAATTCCTATCAGAAACCTGGGGTTTAAAGCTGCTGCATTAGCCTGGCATTTCCCAGAGCCATTCAGACCTCTCCTGGAAGAGACAGGTAATCCCCAGGGTGGTATTAGCTACATAACCTTTGCCAAACCCCTAGGGAGATGAAGGAATAGAATGCAAGAGGGGAACTTGCATTCCTTACCCCTCCTGATAAGGATGATGCTGGAGCTGCAGAAAGTGGCCGACACAGGGGTCCCAGGAACCAGCAGTTTGGTAAGAATTCATTACAGTGGCTGTTCTGTCCCATTGCTCACTCCCCCCAGAAAACCCTCTATAACACCTAAGGCTCTCCCCTTCCTCGTGTGGACACTCTTTTCAGCCTCCACCCATCTGCACCCAGATGTTCAAATAAACACCAATTTGCACCTGGGGCTTTGTGTGTCTCCCTCTCAGCTCTGGACCTAACAGGTAGGCCATGGTTAGGTCAAGTTCAGCTCAGGGTTCTGGGTTTTGAATCAACATTTGGTCCCAGTCACAGCCTAGCCTGCTTGGTTCTCCCTGCAGGCAGACCACTCTAAGGTTCCTTTAACATGGTTTTCAGTTCCTAGGGGTGGGGGTCTGCCATCCTTATATTGACCTCACCTCTTCTAGCTTCCCCTCCCAACAGGGCCCAGGGCCCAGGGCAGGAGGTGAGGAGGACAGGCACCCAGCTGCCCAGGCCAACTCAAGGACTCTGGGACCAAAAGCTTTTAGGGCATTATTTGATGAGATTTCAGACTTTAGAGGCCAAAACACACCCAAGCAGGGTCAGGGCTCAGCTGGGGGGTGGGGTGAGGCAAATGAGGCAACTAGGGTGCACAATTTAAGGAGGCACTTACCCACAAGGCCCTACCTACAAGTGGACCTGAGAGAGAGGGCCTCCTTTTTTTTTTTATTTTATTTTTTATATTGAGAATGTCTACCTTTTCATTCATTTCAATAGTGTTTACTTTCACAGTACAATTATGTAGCACTGTTATTTATTTGGTTAGTTAGTTATTGACAGAGTCTCACTCTGCCACCTCGGCTAGACTGCCATGATGTCAGCTTAGCTCATGGCAACCTCCAATTCCTCGGCTCAAGTATCCTCCTGCCTCAGCCTCCCAAGTAACTGGGACTACAGGCACCCACCACCACACCTGGCTAATTTTTTCTATTTTTTTCAGTAGAGATGGGGTCTCACTTTTGCTCAGGCTGGTCTCAGAACTCCTGAGCTCAAGTGATCTTCCACCTTGGGAGAGGGCCTCCCTAAAGTTCTTTTGCCCCAGGCACCTTGCTTGCCTCAGCCTAGACCCTGCCTGACCTAAGAAGGACTGAGGAACCTAGTCCTTCTAAGTAGGCAGGAGTAGAACTCCTTGGAACCAGGACCCAAGAGCTCCTGGCTGGCTTCAAACTGAGAGAGGAGCCATCAGGCAAACACAGGTAAAATGCTATGCTTCTTTGAGGTTTGCATGGGGGGAGGGTGGCAGTGGGGAGGCCAAAGACAGAGCACCTGTAGTCAGACTGCAGGGAGGGGGCCTGGGTGGGTGCTGCATCCACTGCACAAAGAGAAAACTGAGACTCTGATGGGCAGGGGAGGTGTGGAGACAGGTGTTCGTGGGGAGGCGCAGCAGGGCAAGGCAGGCAGAGGATCTAGAATCCTCACAGCAGGCTAATTCAGTTTATTGCTTCGGCCAACCTAGGCCTCCTCTCCCAAGAAACTCACAGGAGCTCTCTACTGAAAGGATCTCCTGCCTTGGGCTCACCTCATTCGAGGCTTGGCCTGTAGGACATTGGGGAACAGGACTAGGAGAAGACAGAGAGGGGTGAGCCATGTTGTCCTTCTCCAACCCAAGGTGCTGGGAAGTAATGTGGCATGGCTGGGCAAGGCACTCTGGTGCTCAAGCTTCACTTCCTGACTCCCCCCCATGCCCACCCCCACCCCACCTCAGTATTTAATATGTGCCCCAAAAGATACACCTGACCCTATGTGGTCTGGGATCTCCACTTGTTTTTCTGGGTGCTCTTAGGTGTCCTGCCTCCCCATCTGACTATATCACCCCAATCAGATGTGATGTCATGGAATGTGCCCCCACCAAGCAGTGTCCCTGTCAGGCTGGCACTTGGAGAGCAGGGCTGTGTCTCCCCCTCAGTGGATCTCCCTTAGACTGAGCCTCTCCCCCTCGCCTGTGGGCCCCACAGAAGACTTTCTGGAGAAACCCCCTCCGTCCAGTCTCCTTATCCACAGCCTCCCGCCCCAGTTCTCGGAATACCACAGGAAAAAAGAAGAGGGCACGGTTTTGGAGAAGTAGCCAGAAGGTCCTGAAACCAGTGGGGTGGCTGTGGCCAGAGGCCCCAAGGAGCGCACCGCAGCCTGGGTGTGTGTGGGAGGCGCGCAGAACCACGGCCTCTGGGACGCGTTCAGGGTGTATATCGGAGACAGTGAAGCTGAATTCAAAATACTAGCAGGAAATAAGGCGAACTTTGCTTACCAAAAACCACAGACTCCAAGCAACCCACGGCTGATCTTACACAGGGATGGAAAGCACGGCCTTCAGCAATTGGCTGATTTTCAGCAGCCAGACTGTCTGCAGATTTGCTATCAGCCTTGGCGTTTAGGGATTGGCTAGCTTTCGGAAGCGCCGCTGGAGTAAGACCTTTGCTGATTGGTGGGCTCTCAGGACACTGAAGTAACGTTGTCAGTGATTGATTGGGCCCGGCTGAAAATCGGTCTGTAGGACTTGTTCCTGGCTTGGGACTGGGTCTCAAAACGTTTTTTTTCCATTTTCGAATTTAGAGAATTGAAACGTTTTATTTTTGCCGCTCCCCAGATTCCTGAATGCTCCCCTTTCTGAACAGCGAAGCACTGGTATCTGTGCCCACACTCCAGATTGCCCAGAAGTTAGAGTCTGCGCAGGCCTGGCCATTCGTTCCTTTGACGGCTCTTCCCGGATGCCCACAGTGGAGCCCAGACTTCTAGCAGGCGGGCCGGCGCCTTTTCCTTCTGGTGCTGGACACAGCCCAGAGGGTGCTGTAGAAGTATTTGTTGGGAGTGGTGGCCTACTGGGCCTCACACACCTCCTGGTGGCTATGGGTCCGGTCTCCAGTAGCAACTGGTCAGATGGGGTCCAGAGCCTGCCGGGGGACAGCTCAGCTGAGGGAGAAGAGAAGTGAGGAGCCTTGGGGAGGTTCGGAGATGGCAGTTCAGAACACAGCACAGTGTTGCCTGCTGCGTACGTACATCAACCACTGGCCTTAACCAGCTTCTAGTCTTGGACCTGGGTCCCAGAGACAAGGAGGGGGCTGCCATTACCAACAGCAAAATCCCAGAGGGTGCTTCTGTGGAGTCTTCTTGGCACAGGGAGCCAGGTGGGCACCTTTGGCTTGTACCCCCGCACCCCTCCCTCCCGTATTACTGATGGACTCTGATTCCAAAGAGAATTAGAACATAAACATCATAAAGACTGGAACCTTATCTGTCTTCCTCACCATCGCATTTTCTGCTTGAATAGATGAATGAATGAATGAAAGGCTGTAAGGGGTCACATAGTAGATTTGGCAGAACTGGTGTAAGTCATACTGTTCCTTTTCTGGCCCCTGTAAAATCCAGCCTCAGCATTCCCACTCCACCCCCAACCACACACACATGAGTGTGGACTGCCCACAGCTCACCAGTTCTTGCCTCTAGACCCAGTTTGAGCCCCTTGTGACCCAGCAGGGCCCCCAGTCCTCCTTGGGTGTTAGAATTTCTGGGTTAGTTGGCTTGAACTGTTCTAGAAAATGGCAGAGTACCTTTGGGGAAAACAAAATGTATTAATTTGGGTCCTAGGTCAGAAAAACAACTTATATTTGGCTTTGGTCTGGGTTGGTTTTGGCTTTCAGCCACTGGTCAGGAGAGTGAGAGGACAGGGAAGATTGTTTTGGCCCTAAAGCAAGAGAAATGGTTTGGAGTCCAGCTCTGGCAGGATCATGTAGGAAGCTGGGCCAGGCCTTCCCCCATCTGGACTGTTCATTTCAACACACATTTAGTGAGTACCTGCTATGTGCTAAGTTCTGTGCAGGTACAAGTGGACTCTGCCCCAGCCTTCAATGGGCCCAGACTCTAGAGGGGAGATAAATGAGTAAAGTCTCACAGTTTAGTGTGGTCAGGGCTGGTAGGGAGGGGAGTGAGTGCAGGGGATCTATGAGCCCCAGTGAGGCACCAGATTCAGCTTAGGTTAAGGGCTAACATTAGAAAGATGTTATGGAGGCAGTACCTGCTACATTATTTGTATGGCCCAGTGGAAAATGAAAAATCCACTTTCAGTGGAAAATGAAAAAGGCCCCTTGCTCAGATTTTAGGTTTCAAGATGGCAATAGCAGAGCATTAAACCAAGCATGGGGCCCTTTTTAGCACAGGGCTCTGTGTGACCCCACAGCTCTCACCCTATGAAGCCAGCCCTGCTAGAAGGAGGAGACGCCTCAGCTGAGTGTGAAGGTTGAGTGTGAGTACGAGTGTGCCAGGGGAAGAGGAGGGGAAAGCATGGTGTGCAAGGCCCTGGCAGCTCTGTGGATTCCAGGAGCCCCCTTTCCTCAGATCTGGGTCTTTTTTTTTTTTTTTAATCTGTGAGTATTATGGGGATATAAACGTTTTGGTTACATAAATTATTTTTGTACAGTTTGAGTTAAAGTTATAAGTGTGTCTGTCACCCAGATCTGGGTCTTACTATCTCCCCAGGGGCTGATGCAGCCCAGACAGGCTTTCCCAAGCCTTGGGGGTCATGTGAGGTCGCCAACTGCCCTTTCTTGGCGGGGGCGGGGCTGGGAGTTAGGGAACACAATTGTTTTAATCTAACATCATAACCTTCCTACTCACTAGGAGTTACGTGTCCTTTTAAAAAAAAGAAAAAGAAATAGAAGTTGCTTTGTGTATTGTAGTTGGCAAACAAATAAACATACAAAGGTGAAGTGAGAACCCAATGTTGTTGGTTTCCCTAAATTTTTTTTTTTTTTTTTTTTTTTTGAGACAGCATAGTCTCTGTCACCTGGGCTAGAGTGCAGTGGCATCTTCATAGCTCACTGCAAACTCAAACTCCTGGGCTTCAGCTATCCTCCTGCCTCAGCCTTCTGAGGGGACTACAGGTGTGTGTCACGACACCCGGCTAATTTTTTTTATTTTTTTGTGGAGACAGAGTCTCACTATGTTGCCCAAGCTGGTCTTGAACTCCTGGTCTCATGCAATCCTCCCACTTCGGCCTCTCAAAGTGCTGGGATTATAGGCGTTAGCCACCAGGCCCAGCCTAGTTTCCCTAATTAAAAAAATGAACCCCCAGATCTTGCCTCCATAAGGCCTCCTTCTTTTTTTTTTTTTTTTTTTTACGACAGAGTCTCACTCTGTTACTCAGGCTAGAGTGCCGTGGCATCAGCCTAGCTCACAGCAACCTCAAACTCCTGGGCTCAAGCAATCCTTCTGCCTCAGCCTCCTGAGTAGCTGGGACTACAGGCATGTGCCACCATGCCCGGCTCATGTTTTCTATATATTTTTAGTTGGCCAATTAATTTCTTTCTATTTTTTTAGTAGAGACGGGGTCTCATTCTTGCTCAGGCTGGTTTCGATCTGCCCGCCTTGGCCTTTCAGAGTGCTAGGATTACAGGTGTGAGCCACCGCGCCCGGCCAAGGCCTCCTTCTTGATGTTCTATATCCCTGGAGAAGTCAAAGTGACACCCATCCAGCTTTGATGAGAGCTGAGGCAGGACAGCACTCCCTGGCAGGTTCTGGGCATTGAGAATGGGCGCTAGGGAGGCCTGGCTGCAAGGGCAGGCTCTGGCCCAGCCCAGTCTCGGCCCCTCCCCCTCCAACTCTTGGTCTCTGTGGGTGCAGACACAGCTCAGGCTGTGAGGAGCTGAGAGGGCAGCTTTGAAATCCAACAGGGAGATAAGGACAGACAGAGAAAGCAAAGGCTTCCTGATAACCGCCAGGAAGCCAACACAGAACACAACAGAGAGATAAGGAGATGCCTCTCTGAAGGCCAAACTGTTTTAAAGGAGAGTCCTGGTGTGGATGGCAGGGTGTAAAGACTGGGCAGCTGATAAAGATCCTTTGATGGGGAAGAAAAAGATAGATGAGGCTCCCCTGGGCTTGGTTTGGTGACTTCCAATAGGAATGGACTCCTGGCTGGAGGCAGCTGGACAGCTGGATGCCTTCAGCCCTCTGAGCTCTGGTCTCCTCCCCCAGGTTCAAGGCCAGGCTCTCCTATTTCAGGCTCCCTGGGGCTCCCCATTTAGGCTAAAGCTGATTTAACTTTGATGTTGTTTTTAAGTAAATGTAAGGAGGCTATATTCCTAAGAAATGCTCAATCAAGTGTCCTTGAGTCCAGGAGAGCCTTTGAAGCAGTGTGGTATAACGGAGAGGACCTGGCCTTGGATTAAGATGCTATGCTGGTGACCTGGGATGTCACTTACTTTCCGTGATCTCAGTGTTTTCATCTGTGCAATGAAGGTAGTAAGCCCAGTAGGGCAGGGCTAGGTGAGGATCAAGAGATGATGGATGTAGCCAGGCGTGGTGCTGTGCATCTGTAGTCCCAGCTACTCTGGAAGCTGAGGCAGGAGGATCACTTGGGCCCAGCAGTTGGAGGCTGCAGTGAGCTATGGCAGCACCTGTGAAAACCACTGCATTGCAGCCTGGGCAACACAAGGGAGACCCTGTCTCTAGAGAAACAACAATCATTTCATTACTCAGCCTCATGATTCTGGGGGCTGACCAGCTCAGCTGGGAAATTCTCTTTTGGGGTCCCTTATGTGGTTGGTATCAGAAGGTGGCTAGGGCTAAAGTCAATTCTGAAGTTCCTCACTCAGATGCTGGCTGCGGGCCGAGCACCTGTACCTAGGCTGGCGTCTGGGTGGCCTGGGCTTTCTCCTGGCATGGCAGCTGCGCCCAAAGCAAGGGCACCCAACAGAGTCAGGCAGAAGCTACGTCTTCTTTTCTGATCCTGTCACAGAAGTCACAAAGCAGCAGCATTTCTGCTGTAGTCAAAAACCTGCCCATATTAGTCCCATAGACCCTCAATGGGAAAAGTGTGCAAGTACATTGTAAGAAAATATAGGGATTGGGATATATTGTGAGGCCATTGTTGAAATATGTCATCTGCCATAGAAGAGGGAGGAGCCAGGCACAGGTAGGAGTCTCCATATGTACTCTTTGCTCCAGGCCCTACAAATGACAGGGACAGTGGCAGTCTTGTGCCACTCAGATCAGGGTACCCATACCTATGGCTGTGGGTGCTTATTCCGTGTAAACCAGAAAGCATCCAGCTGGGACCCATCCAGCCAGTCTGTGAGCACTGACCTTGCAAATCCAAGCAGTGGCAACTGGGGCACAGGCCAGGGTCACACCACGTAATCCAAAGAGAGAGAAATGCTTGAATGAGCCTGAGAGTTATTTCATGCACAAGACTCATCAAGAAGCCCCACATTGTCCCTGCAGGAGCAGGGGAAGAATCTGCCACATGACCACGAGGCCACTCTTCCTGAAAGAGAGCCCAGAGACCTGGGTTCTAGGCTCGACTAGATCACTGTGCCATCTTGGGCAAGTCACCTCTTCCGGGCATCAGTTTCTTCATCCGTGAATGGAAAGCGTCGGGCTGGAAGGGAGGGCCCTGCAGCCTCTGCCCACTTCCCCACACCCGGCAACAAAAACCGCACGGCCTCAGGCGAAGCCCAGTTCTCCTGTTACCGCCCTGGGAGCACACGGGACCCCTCCTGGAACACACCCTCCCTGCCGCCACAGGGGTGAATGCGCCATTGATGGTCACCGTTTCCCCCGACCGGTGCCCAGCAGTGAGACGTTCATGGCTGACTTCGTGGCCTGGGGGCGGGTTGACCTGGGTCTCAGGCCTGTCTCTCCCTAGCCCCTCCAAGGGACTGGCCTGTAGTCAGGGGTGCCTCATCCGAAGCTCTTCCCCTGTGCCCACTTCTCAGAGGGGAAAGCAGAGGGGCAGAGAGGGCAGATTTGAGCCATTGCACGAGATGGTTCAGCAGGAGGTATTTTCAGTTTCTGGGGGGAAGCTGGGAACACCAGCCTGGAAGGAGGGAAAGGTGCCTTTGGCATGATAAGGGGGGACTGTTCTCCCCCCAGGGACGAAGGTCAAGTCATGTGAATGGAGTAGAGTGAGGGTCTCAAGCTAGCTGGAGGATACACACCCCACTCTGGGGCCTCTGGGCCTCCCACAGGGAAGGAGAGTTGCCCTCAGGACTTTATTTATTTATTTATTTTGAGACAGAGTCTCACTTGTTGACCAGGCTAGAGTGAGTGCCGTGGCGTCAGCCTAGCTCACAGCAACCTCAAACTCCTGGGCTCAAGCAATCCTTCTGCTTCAGCCTCCCGAGTAGCTGGGACTACAGGCATGCGCCACCATGCCCGGCTAATTTTCTATATATATTAGTTGGCCAATTAATTTCTTTCTATTTATAGTAGAGACGGGGTCTTGCTCTTGCTCAGGCTGGTTTCGAACTCCTGATCTCGAGCAATCTGCCCGCCTCAGCCTCCCAGAGTGCTAGGATTACAGGCGTGAGCCACTGCGCCCGGCTAGGACTTTATTTTTTTTGAGACAGAGTCTCGCTTTGTTGCCCAGGCTAGAGTGAGTGTCATGGCGTCAGCCTAGCTCACAGCAACCTCAAACTCCTGGGCTCAAGCGATCCTCTTGCCTCAGCCTCCCGAGCAGCTGGGACTACAGGCATGCACCACCATGCCTGGCTAATTTTTTCTATATGTATATTAGTTGTCCAATTAATTTCTTTCTATTTATAGTAGAGATGGGGTCTTGCTCTTGCTCAGGCTGGTTTCGAACTCCTGACCTCAAGCAATCCGCCGCCTGGGCATCCCAGAGAGCTAGGATTACAGGCGTGAGCCACCGCGCCCTCAGGACTTTAAAAGGAGAAAAGTCTGGGTAGCTGTGGCTGTTCAAGAACCCTTGGCTGGGAGGCAGAACTTGTCCCCCACCTGGGGCAGAGCCCACCCACCAGAGGAATGCCAGGCAGCCAGGGGCCTCTGCGGGGCTAAGGCTGGGTACCAGTCTCTGTGGGGAGTGGCGGTCAGTCCTGGGGGGAGGGACTGCAGAAACACCAAACAAAGAAGGTCAGAGAGAGGAGTAGGTGGCAGGGAGCAGGGATTGGGGAGAAGTGGACCAAGGAAAGGGGACATGTCCCCAGAGGCACCCCCAGACGGGGTGAACTGTAAGAGAGACCCCCTTCTGCGGGAGCAGTTAGCTATACAAAAGCACAGCCTAATTCCCAGTGTCCAGCCCACCCCACAGTTTGCCTCTGTCCCCTGGCTCTGGGTGGCTTTGGGACTGAAAGCATCATTTCAGGTAGCTATGTGAGCTTCTGTGGAGGCTGCAGGGCCTAGGTCTGGGAAAGCCAGCAGGTGGCAAGATGTGTGAAAAGGGGCTGCTTTGCTTGGGGCTCAGTAGTCGTGGCTTGCCTAGGGTTGCCAGACTTAGCCAACAAAAATACAGGACTCCCAGTTAAATCTGAATTTCAGATAAACATTAAATATTATTTTTTAGTATAAGTATGTCCCATACAATATTTGGGGTACGCTTATACTAAAAATCATTTGTTGTTTATC